AAATGTAGGCTGTCGAGCACTGTTTGTGGCAATTCAGTGGTTATTACTATCCTTTCGTCGATTAGTAGACAGTCTCCGCGAACGTGGAGCCGATTTCGAATGTTGTGCCAATAGGGTCCATAAGAAGTTTCGATGGCCTCCCAATTCCTCTTCTTGACGAAGTTAATGAGTGGGCTGAGGTTCCGGTTTTTTTTTCGTTGTCGCGGCAATGAATCGCACTCCCAGCACCCATTGGAGCTTCTTTCTGAAAAATGGGGGTGTCTTCCTCGGTTTCCCTTGTATTTTTGGCCTTTTCTATTTTTGCCACCAATCCCTCGGTGATCAACTCATGGCTGGCCTCGAGTTACGTATTCTTCGTCATTGTTGGGGGTGCCTCGTTATGACTCGTCTCCTCTTGTATAGTCTTTATTGGGTCCACGCGGCTCACCCAGACTTCATCGTTTGGTTTTTTCCCCGGACAGTTTTGTTTGTGTGGATTTAGAGATGAATTCGGCATCGGTCTGGCAGGACTTTGTTTCTTTTGGGCCCGTGATTTTCTTTATCTCGGTTTGTTTAGTTTGTTTCTTTTGCGCCGTCTGGTTAGTTCGTTGTTCTTCCGTATTATCGTTGAAAACGATTTTTGGAAAGTTTGACTTCTTCCGGGTTTCCTCCGCTTTCTCTATGACCTCTCGTGCATCCTGGACTTGGGTGACGCTTTCGGCGTTTGACTGTTTCGATGAGCTGATTTTCTTTCCTTTCGCGGGTGGTTTTTTGTGCTATCGTGGATCAGAAATACTTTCTTCCTTGTCCGACGACCCTTGCCACCGTGCAGTTGACTCGGTTTGTTGTTCTGGGGGATCTGAGCTCGATAGTTCCGTGGGGATGAAAGCTCCCTTGAATCCACGCGTTTCTGATTGTCTGTTCATTTATTGGCAATGAATGAAATATACTGTTTTTTGAACTGGTTGAAATGTTTTCGATTTAGAATGACAGAGAGCTGACTGTTTGTTGCCGATTTTCGAGTGAAAGTGAATTCGGTTTTTGAGTTCGCAATTCACCGTGAGTGGAATGTTTGGAATGTTCATTTGTTAACTGAATGTTTGATTTAGCATCTAACATCCCTTTGTTTTCGCGCGTTTTTTGATCAGTTCATACGGTGCTTTGCTTTGATTGGGTAGATTATTTAGAATGACGTTGTCAATCAATTCGAGGTCGTTTATGAATGCATTAATTGATGCTACAACAAATTCCTCATCATAGTTGCTTGGGGTATCGCCAATCCAACTGGATTTCGGAACATATAGTCTATTAGTCACATTTTATTTCACGCAAGATGTTTGATATCAAAGTGAAATGGTATTAGTCTATCAATCCACTGTGTGAGCCTACTCAGACTCGTTTTTGATCTTTCACTTGCGTTTAAAGCGCTGATTAAAGCTTGGTGATCTGTAATGACGGTAAAGTGTTTTCCATACAGATAATATTTGAAATGTTCGATTTCCCAAACTACTCCTAATAATTCTAGTTCGTTTACTGAATATTTTACCTCGAGGGAGTTTCAGAAACGTGATGCGTATGCTACAGCGATCCAACTCCTGGTAAATTTTGATCTAATTCTGCTCCTAAACCTGTGTTAGATGCATTGCAAACTATGCGAGTTTCTAATTAATAGTCAAATACTTGTTTTGAGTAATTTTAGTTACTAACTTTTGTATGTTTTTGAAAGCTGTGTTGTGTTTCGTTCACCACTCAAGTGATTTTTTATTTTCTGTGTTTTTTAGCAATGGACGGAGTGCAGCAGCTGCTTGTGCTAAGTTTGGTATATATCGTGTGAGATGGTGTAATGACCCCATAAAGCTTTTTAATTGTTTAAATGTTTTTGGTGCTGATAGTTTCTCTATTGCTTCAGTCTTCTTAATGTCTTCTAGGACATGTCAGATAGTTTCTGAATCGTCTTGTGCCTTCGCTATTAATATTGAATCCTAACAACTCAATCTGTTTACAAGCAAACTTACATTTCTCAAGTGAAATCGCAAGCTTTTCTTCATCTAATCTGTCCAACATGCTTTCAGCATGCTTTGATGTAGTTCTGTGGAGCCCTTCGTAACTATCAGTATATCATCAAAGTATGCATATGTGTTTGTGCAGTTTGTCAAAGTTAGATCAATGAAATTTTTCGAAATTTGGCTGGCATATCCGTGAGGCCGTAAAATCTCGTTTGGAATTGACATGTTCCTGTCGCATTGCCACCGATTAAGCTGAAACTGCCTTGTTCGCGTGTTTTCTGATCCAGCGGGATTTGAGAGTATGCATAACCAAGATCAAGTTTTGAAAACAACGTTTGTTTTGTTTTGTCTGATTTTACTACTTGTGCGATATTATCAAGTAATAAATCAATGTTGGGCATTTGATACTTGTTTTTATGATTAAGTTTGTTGATTTTTTTTTGAATTCAACGCGAGTTTGACTGTTTGATCTTTCTTCACAGTGATGAAAAATGGACTGATGAATTGTCTATCTGAGCACTTTTCCAATTTGTTAATGTTTTTTGATCAATTAGTTTGTTTAAATCTCCCTCCACACGTTCTTGTAGATGTATCGGAATGCGTCGACCCTTTTGTTGTATCGGAACGAATTCTTTAATAAACTGTGTTTTCATTGTATGATTTTTGGATTTTCCGATACGTACGCACAATTGTGCGAAGTTGTCTTTGACCCATTGTTTAATTGCAGGATCAGACTCTTCCTTTTCTCGTATAGCATGTACGTTTTGTTTTTGTTGTTCCTGGATTAGTTTAATACCGATCTGTGGTAACAAGTTTCTTCCGAAAATGTTCGCTTTTTTATCATCGACCATGATGAATGGAGCTGATTGAATTTTCCAGGCTCCAGACTCGATAGCAATAATCAATCTTCCCTTTGGGACGATCGTTTCACCATTATAGCACGCTAAGTTTCGTGCGGTGTCTCCTGTTGGGATAGTTTTAAACATAGCCTGTTAGGATAGTTTTAAACAGAGCTTTTTTGTCGTTTTGTTGAAGGCACCGTTCGGTTTTTTCGTTGAGAAAGGACATTGGTCTTCCCGAATCAGCAATAGCAATCAATTGTTCTGAATTAGTTTTTAATTTGACAATGTACCCGTTTAGGTCGTCCTCAGCTAATGTTCTTGTGTTTTTAATCTCCAATGATTCCGCGACTGCCATCACCGAAAAATTATCTATTTGATAATCGTCCCAACCGTTGCTGGAAAAAAATTCGGCAAATGCCACTGGATCGTTTTCTGTTTCGAGTTTTTCAGTCTCTAGCTCCTCCTGTTGATCTGTATCTTCTAGATAGCTTACATCTGTGCAACGGCAAACTTTAGCGAAATGGCCCGTTTGGCGCATTTGGCACAAACTTTATCTTTTGCGGGGCAAGATTGTAAATGGTTTTGATTATACTGATTTCCACATTTATAACACTGTTTCTGACTACCTGTGTTAGTAGTTCTCTGTTGTCCTCTGTTGTTTTGTGACCCACGTTGAAACGGTTGCCCTCGAGCACCTCGTCTTCATTGTGTGTTCTGATTGTTAGAGTAGTTGGCGCGACCCCGCGTGTTTATGTAGTTAACCGGTTCTTGCTTTGGCGTAACCTGCTGTCCTCCGAAAGGGTTGGTTTTCATAGTACGACTATGTTCAATTCCTTTTTCTCTACGTATAGCATATTCATATGCATCTTGTGGGGTCCTTGTTTGAGCCAATAATTCTTCGGCTATTTTGTCATTGTTCATGTGTGCATTGAACATGTCCCGAACCCAATCATCCTCGCGGTCTCCGCAATCAGCTCGTGATGCTAGTTCCACGAGGTTTGAATGGAATTGCTCTAAACTCTCTGTTTTCTTTTGCTTTCGACAGATAAAATTGTATCTTTCAAAAGCGATTATTCTAGTGTTTACTAAACTATCCTCGAGGGTTGTCATCAGTTCTTGTGTGGAGACAGTATGTGTGGTGACAGTCTTTTTTGTTGTATTTGTCTTTGTCCTTCCGCTCCTAACATAAGAATATGTAGCTGCGCACTTTTGCGTCGGCATTGTCCCATCTGAATGAATTACAGAGTACTCCTTTCTCTCGTGCTTTTATCACGTGGTTCTCCTAACCAACACTTTTCTCTTGGTTTCTGACTTCTCTATTCTTCCTTTGTGCCTCAGTTTCTCCCGTGATTTCAACCTTGTACACTGTTTCTGGAGGTTCGACTAATGCTGGTCCGGCTCTCAATAGATTTCGTACTTCTATCACATCTTTCGCGAATATAGCCATTTCCATTATCGTTGCCCACTTAGACCACTCTAGTGGTGGTTCAACAGATGCCTTCTCCCAGAACGGGTTTATGTTGAGTGGGTTTTTGGAGTATCCTGCTGGCTGCGCCATGTCATACCTCAATGTATGATCTTCTAATTCCAAAATCCGAATGGATCGACAAACAGATATTCTAACGCGAAGCGAGATAAAAACAACTAGTTTGAACCAATGTCAATTCATGGTCTGACCGATCATTTGGTCGTTGTTTGAGAGAAGATCTCTCAAGGTCGATGACCAGCCATATGTACGGTTATTACATACATTAACATAAAACATATGTATAATTATATATAACCAGGTTTTGTCAGTCCATGCCGGATGACAGTTCCCCCGCTTAATATATAGTTACGAATTGTCGCTTGTTACAAATTATCAGCTTTTACGAAGTGTCGCTTGTAACGAATTGTCGCTTCTCGGTGTAGACTCCTCGAACGTCGGACAGGAAAAAGCTTTATATAACCCTAACGCTTAGTGAAATTTAGAGATGATTCAGAAATTAACCGAGAAAAATATGGACAAAACAATGCCCCATTTTTTCTCAAAGCAATCCTGTTTTTCGCTTTGTCTATATTGAAATGAAAATATTTTAACCGATGACGAATTGACCTGTTGCTCCAAATAAACATAACGCGAATATATGATGCAGAAATTAATTTTTACAAAAATTCAAATATGCAGAAATACCTTTCACTCCCAGCACACATGTTGCGGCAGTTATCACCCAGTGACTACCGATGCACGCTCCCCCACAGAAGGTATTAGGATGCCCCACCCTGGATACTCGCGCGAAGAAATGTCTGACTTGACCTGGGTGTCCGTTGATGATCGAATATTGCAACGTGTTACTGAATTTGTTCACAGTTTGTTCACGACTAATAACTTCTTCTGTTTCGGCGTTTTTAATATTCGAGGAAATCAAATTAAATTGATTTGGAAAAAGTTGAACTAAGGGAGCTGATGTCCAGCAAAAAATAACTAAAACTATTCTTCTCATGTTGATTTGAAAGAGTCTCAATATTAATGAGTATCTATGAACTCCAGAGATTAGAATAAAATCAACAAAAAATTAGAATCGATATATCGATAAAAAAACATATAAATCAATTTGTAGGATTTTGTAGTTCTGCTGTGATACCAACACTTAGAGATGAAAGAGTACCAAAATTTCGAATTAGTCGAATTTAACCAAGCCTGTTTTCATTTGATTCGAATGTCGTGAAATTTTAAATGACCACTGTGAACTTAACCAAAAATTTCAAAATGTTCGATCTAAAAGGTCCATAATGAAATTATATAAAAACAAAATGGAACAATCTAATGATGAAACAAATTATTTATTTTTTCATAAATACCATGTTGTTTTTTTTTCAAATCGCGAGTATGTCGATCAGAAAACTTTATTGTGGAACAATTTTTCACAATCTTTTGTTTAATTCGTAGCCTAAATTTCAGCAGATATGAGCTCGATTATCAAGCCCCGCAGTTGTCAGTTGTCCCCAGCCACCAATCTACGGGGATAAGGAAGCCTGGGTTTAACAGAAAACTGATCTTACAGTAACTCAGACTGGAACAAACTGATGGTCAGAAGATGGTTTTTTTTCTAAAATCCCATAGACTTATGCATTTGGTTGATAACAACATGAAAAGTAGTTTTCCGTAGCAATGCATTGCAACAGCAATGAGTTATTTTTTTTTCAATGATAACCCGTATTTTTGTTGAATTCTTTTCATTTTAGGTTCTGTGAGTTGTAAAGACTTTACTTCTCTTTTTTTGAGTAATTCCAGACCAAAAGCCCTCCTATCTTGTTCGAGGATTAGTTAAACGTCGAGTTTTTGATTTCGCAGTGTGAAAAAAAAAATTCATCCATTCAGTGTGTTTTGGTCTTTTTTGGAAAGCAGTAAACCCACTAGTATAGTTTCAGCAAACACTTGGCGTAACTGAAGTTTCTATTTACCCAAACTTCCAATTTATTCCAAAGCCCTGAATCGCAATGTACTAGGGCATTTACTTGCTGTTCGAAACTTTTATGCTTTGTTGGCTTTTTTTAAGAGCAGAAAGATCATTCTTTCATCAAACACGCGGATGGGCTTTTTTCGCCGTGAGACGCATTCTTAAAAACTGTTAATTATATTTTTTTATTCATTTGTTTTTTAAAGTTTTGGATTTTTTTTCTAGAACTCAGTTTGCTTTTTAGAGAGACAGAAACAGCAAACAGACTAGCGGGAAATTGTCAATGAACGCAAATAAACAGAAAAATCATTCATTTCTTTTTCTCAACTTTTGAAGAAAAAATTAGATGGTTTTAGAGCTCTTTGAAACTACAGAACAAATGATTGACACATGTTTGACTAAAATAACGTAATATGAGAAAAAGGGAGCAATAGGTAAACTTTTTATTGCGCTGGTATATCTGAAAACCAAAATCTACTTTCGAAATTAGAGGTATCTCAGGATTTTTGTGACTTTTAATGCTTTGTTGTTCGATAGTGGGGTGTGCCTTCCTTCTAATCAGGAAAAAGAACTGAAATTATAAAGAAATCAATAGTCAAATTGCAAAAACCCAAGTCTTAGCGTGAACGTACGTTAAAGACTTTTTCTTGAAAAAGAAAAACAAACAAAGAATCATCAAGACCTACATAACAGTATTCTTGCGTTCATGACTCTAAAAAAATGAAAGTAAACTTAAACAAGTTTTAAGAAGCAATGATATGTTGAGACACGATGATAATTTTTAAACAATTCGAAAAATTGTGATACACTTTAAGAGCTATAAAATCTAATAGTTCAACCAGGTTTAAAGAAGCTATCAAAAATTTAGAATCGCCAAAAAGTGAGCTACGTTTGAAAAATTGGGGTGGTATCGGAATAGGAAAGGGCTTTCCGTACTGCTGCCTAAAGCGATCAGCAGTCGAACAGGATGGAAGCACAGAGCAGTTGAAGGGATCCACGATAGCTTTTTGTAGCATATGAAATATGAAGTACATCTTTTGGAAAAAAACATCAGATTTTAAGTCGAAAACCATGAAGCCGAAAAACGATCAGCAGAAAAGTAAAATCAAAACTCTATGATTATAATATACAATGATGTGAATTCTAGAAATAGCATGAGTAATAAATAGTACCCTATAGCTCAACCTGATTTTGTTACACTGGTGTTGAACCCGAAAAGATGGCTCTAGTCTGAGTTGATAACGCTTGCTAATCGCAAGCGTAAAAAAATTATTACATAACTTTTAGAAATTCAAAAGGAAAAAGGTACGAGCCTCTACTTGTTTAGATTGGGAGACATTTACTTATGGGTAAGTCGTTCTCAAAAAAGCGGGAAATTCATGCTGATTTTGTTAAAATGGAAAAAAAACATTTAACGTGGCAATTATTTCACCATATGCACGATGAGAGAAACAGAGGGCATAATAATCGTATCAAGTTGGTAAAAAGGCACATCCGAACTTAGAGATGTAACTTTAAAAAAGATAAAACATTTTGTAAAATTTCCCAATCAGAAAATTTTTCAGGCAGAGAACTTCCTAAAGTTTAAAGATAAACGTTTTAAAGAACCATTAAATTGTTCAAGGAATTGTTTTTTTGTAGATCCTGTAAAATTTTTATTTCAATTTTCAGAACAACTTCAATTTTCGAATTTAAAAAGCATTAAAACTGATACAGAACAATCTTAGACTTATAAATTAAAAACAAGATTCAACAATTTGTTTTGGAAAAGTTTAGCCCAATTTGAGAAAATTGAATACTGGATCAATAGTTAAACTTTTTGTTCGGCTGGAAAATGTTAAATTTTTAATTCCAATTTCGAAACTAAAAGTCGATCACGTTTTTGGGATGTTTTTGTTTTTGCTCTTCGATTTTGGATCTGTTTCCTTTTAACAATGGAAGTTAACTGAACTTAATACTAAATCAAAAGTCAAAACGCGAAAAATCAAATATTAGCTTGAACGAATTTCCAAGACTTTTTCTTGAAAAAGAAAAACAAACAAAATATCAACTATACCTATATAAAATTATTAACTGCAACCATGTTTGATTTTAATGATTTTAAGAAGTATTCACTGAGGAGTTTATAAAACGAATAAATTGAAAACTGAAACTGAAAACTCCAATTAGTAATTAATAATCGCACAACTAATAACTAATACAAAATAAAACCTCCAAAATCAGTTAAAACGCTATATTAAAATATAGTCAAAAGAAAACTTTAAAAAATCGGTGAGAGCAATTAAATATAAGAAAAGTTTCAACAAAAGTCCGAAAAAGTTTCAACTTAGAAAAAATTGATGATTCTAAAGCTCTTCGAAATCTTAGAAGCCAGTTTGAAAAAGCTGGATAAAAATTTCTATATTTGTTACGGAAGATTTAAACAACAGTGAACTTTCAACGGCATTAAATTTTTATAATTGAAAGAAGTTTGTAATAAACTAGAGCTATGATGCAAAAAGATAACGAAAAGTTTTTGCCTTATGATTCGCAAGTAACTGAATTCTGAAACAACACGTTAATTCAAACAATTCGCAAATATTTTGAATCCACTTAGTGATTTGCTGAAAAAAATTTTTTTTAACTTGTCCACGACGACCAATTTGGTTGTAGCAAACATCTTTAGCCCTAAACCAAACTCTTGCAGATGAAATTAACGTACATTTCAGCGGGTAAAAAATGACACTATTTAAAGTGACGCAGTCAATTAGAAAAAAAAACTTAAAAATAGTTTAGGTGGGGAGTACAAAAAAATTAACTTTACGAGCTCATGCAAAAATTACGATTAGAAAAACAAACAATTATAATAAGTCTTTTTTTTGAAATAGATTCATCTTCAATACTAAGCGTTTCTTTAATTTTTTTCAACGTCCACATGGAAGCTCATTGAAGAACTATTTGTTTAGGAGATACATTATGACGACTTATGATACAATCTTTCTATAAAAAATCAGCCATCGTGATCCAATTTGAGAATAAAAGAAAAAAGTTACCTCCAAAAAGTGCCTCAATTATCCCGTTAAGTTCTATATTTTTTCGCCAGAGCGCAAAACTGCGGTAGAAATAACCAAAAGTGAAGTTTCAGCGGCACAAAAGCTCTCTAGTTGAGAGAAAATTGTTTCAAGCATTTGATTCCTCAGTTTGTTGCAAAAAAATAGAGCTATGATGCAACAAAACAACAAAAAATCTTGTTCTTATCATCCAAATATAATATATTGAAAAAACGACTCGGCTCTACAAACAATTCACAGCAGCAACACAATCCGAGTTAAAGTATCCTGGAAGAAATGTTTCCCAACTTTTTCAAAACTCGTCAACGACAATTGAATCCGGGCAGCAAACATGATTAGCAGTCAAGCAGATATTTCGCCAGTAGAATCAACCAAAACGCGGTAAAAACTACTTTCAATGAACTACGCATTCAATTTCATAGAAACCTTAAAAATAACAGTTTGATTGAAGAAACTTTCGCGATTTTTTTGAAACTGACGGCTTTTTTCAATCTTCTAATTTTTAGGCAGTTTTTAAATAGGTCCGTTTTCAATAAAGGGTGATGATTTCTTCCTTTTAACGTCAACAAGATTGCTGGTTGAAGATCGATTAGCGTAGAAGATTCATTATGACAATTAATGTCATAATCATTAGAACAGTTAATGTCATTAATCATAAAATCAGTCTCCGTGATCTAGTTTGAGAATAAATAAAAAAGCACCTCTGAAATGTGTATCGTTTCGGCCGTAAACTTCTATTTGTTGAAGTGGGAGCTCAAAATTACAGAAAAATTAACCAACATTGAAGTTTCAACTGTATGAAGACTGTATAATTGAAAATATTAATTAATTCAAGCACTTGATTTATCAGTTTTCCTGCGAAACAATAGACTTATTTTGCAATAAAAAGACAAAGAGTCTAATCCGTATGATCGGCAACTAACGCTATTTTGAAAGAACTTGGCTCTACGGACAACTTGTAACAAAATTCTAGTCTGCGAATTGGTATCCTGGAACTTTTTTTAAAAACTAGTCAACGACGACCAAATCAGAAAGAGTAAACTGGAGACTTCTCATTGAACGAAAAATTGATTGAACTTGTATATTTTAATTTGAAAGCGTGAAAACAGTTGAGTTTTTTCAAAATGCTTGTTTTTTTTTGAAAACAAATTGATTTTCATACGTATAAATTGTATTATTTTTTGAATTGAATAAACTATTTTTTGGTAACAAAAGTTATTTTTAGGCGCAAAACACACTCTCTGCATCGTTTTAAGCTTGTATAAAATATATGAAAAACCATTTAAAAGGATTTCTAATAGGTCAAAAAAATTTTTGAAAAAAAAATACTTTTCATACTATTTTCACTCATGAAAATTGTATGATACGCATTTTTTTTAGCTCCGCCATGAAAACTTGATTTTTGTTCGGTGACAAAAGTGCTCTCAGTTGAGTAAAACGCGCTTTTAATTAATTTAAAATTAATTCCAACAATATTAAAAGTTTCTGAAAATCTTGTCTTCTAAAAATTGTGCGTGATAGCTAAAATATTATTCCATGTGGACATCGAATCCGCCTGGAGCCAGTCAATAGGACAATCTGCCGAGAAAAAGATTTTGTTGACAAAAAGATCTTTCTTTCGCAATGGCGCATGAACAAACTTCGAACATTAATCTGTTCAACTAGTCTATTTCAGGAACCTTCAAGGCTACTTCATTTCTCAACCAAACTGATGAAGGTCTTAGTATATATGACATTGGTATACAAATAACAAATAGATGTTATAAGTCTATTGGAGATGATTTTTTGGTAAATTTAATTTTATCAACAGAGACCAAAGAACTATCCCTCCAAACGATCAAATTATGATTACAACAGTATATTATTTTGAACGCCTCGCTCAACACCACAAAAATGTGATTGATGATGAAATTCGTAAATCAAAAAGCGAATTGATGACTCATCATTGCATGTCAATGGTGGTTTCGTTTAAAAATGATCACAAAAGGATGTAGGGGAGGGGATGTTGGGAGAGGCATTACATGTAGGGGGTAGGGGGTGGCGGACGAGGTAGTAAAAGTGGCCTGCCATCCCCAGACAACATTTCAAAGTAATATCTGCTTCGAGTGCTATACATGGGTAATAAGGGATCATTTTAGGGCTGTAGAATATGGAATTGTAGACTTACATAAGCAGCTCTTGGTCTCATTCCCTTGGTTTGGGTACGATAGTATAAATAAATGGCTTCGGAGCCATTCCCACCGTGGTTTTTTGTCCGCTACATATAACCATCTGGGGGGGGGGGGGGG